ATATATATATATATATATATATATATATATATATATATATATATATATATATATATATATATATATATAATTTGGTATAAGGTTCTCAGATAAATATGTACGGTTGAAGATTACACCCCATTTTGCAGTTAGAAGTTTTTAAAATAAAATTTCAACAACACGAAGCTGTTTTGTTTCAACTTTATTAAACTGTGAAGTTTGGCTGACGGCCGTTTCGGCTAATGCCATCGTCTTACACTTCGCAGACGCCTTACCATGCACGTACAGCAAGGCGCTATCAAGGATCACTTCAATAAGCAGCACAACATACCAGTTACTCGAAAAATCCTTGATAATAACACTAGCATACTTTGTAATGAACGTCGTCCCTCAAGACTCAAAATAAAAGAAGCTATTCTCATCCTCAATAATAAACCAACAATCAACACGCAGTCAGACAATTTCGCCCACGTCTTACAACTTTTTACTTAATATCGCGACGTTGTACTGCCTCAATTGCCAAACGTCATCAATAGACAGCAACTACACACCAAATATAAATACGAATATAACACACAAGAACGCACCATTAACAACAATCCGTTTGTCTCTTCACGCCATAAAACTCAAACAATTTGTTCACTAACTTTATTATTTGCCACGCCTTAATATTTCTTTATACATATTTATTGCTAAATAATATTATATCCAATTGTTAAATATCTAATAATTCTTCAATAAATTGTCATATTATTAAATATTATTATCGACTTCCCATAATTTCTGCATTACTTCTTGTCACTATGCTAACTTTCTACACTTCAATTACGATAATACACAAACAATTTTATTCATAATTTTTCTTTTAAATTTATTCGTTTATTTTATTTTCAACAATATAATGAGTTAATTTTAAAATATAGGTTGTTATTCATTTATTTATTCATTTAATTTATATTATTAACTCCTCATTTGGTTTTACAATCTAGGCTCCGGCGATTGCATTAGCCGAAACGGCCGTCAGCCAAACTTCACAGTTTAATAAAGTTGAAACAAAACAGCTTCGTGTTGTTGAAATTTTATTTAAAAAACTTCTAACTGCAAAATGGGGTGTAATCTTCAACCGTACACATATGTATATATATATATTTTTTAAATATATATATATGTATGTATAGGTGAAAATTTGCTATTTGCTAACTCCGCCGACCAATAATTCAAACGTTATGGAAAGTTTATTGCTTAACTTTCAAAAGCATTGTCGGAAAATGGATAAAAACATATTAAATCAAAAATTTATAAGCTAAACTTTTATGCAATCTCTAAATGGATTAAGTTTCTCAATTAAACTTGAACTTATTTGTTGATATTTATTTGTTAATAAAAATTTTCTTATAAAAATTAATAGTTGTTTTTTTTATTAAAATTGAAACTTAATTAACCCATCTCATGAATATTTTATTACAAAAGCAAGCACAAAATTTTCATTGTAAAATTTATGCAGATCGAATGAATCAAAAACACTTACTGAAACAAACAGCTTCTTGTCGCTCCGAGCACGGAGACAGTTCGTATGAATTCTCAGGACAATTTGCACAATCTGGAAATATTTTCATGTCATGAATCAATTTTGTGACTTACAAAAATTAAAGTTTCAAATTGAAATTTCAATTATTGACATCAAAAATTTTTAAGTTTAAATATTGTACAAAATTTATATTCCTTTAATAAAATTTAGCTTGAACAAATTTAATATAGGCAATGCTCTCGTTCTAATTTTTAATGAAATTTGATTTGTACTTAATTTACAATTTTTGTTTAAATTTAGCTTGCCGAAATTTCGGTTTCAAAAACTTTAAATTCGGTCTATGGCGTCATCTGTTCGAGACTAGCTTTCATGAAACATGTGATGTGCGGCGGGCATTAAAATGATTTTGTGATTTTCTTTATTTTGGTTTCATTAAAATCTTTTGACATCAGCCTATTTTATCATTTTAATGATTGTTTTCATATTTTATTTTTTGCCATTTTTCTTTGTTGGTTTTTAAAAAAGGACTCTAAAAAAGCATCTCGTTGCTATTACTATTATTTGTTAATATTATTATTACCGGTGTAGAAAATAAAGTTTTATTCTCGCAGCTTATTGTTTTTATAGTAATAATAGTGTTTTGTAGAAGTTATATTTAAATTTGGTTTTAACAGTTGCGCGAATTTTAAGTGGAGATTCGTTTTAGTTCCGAATTTTAACAAAGATTGGTTTTTATATAATTTAATTTGTATAATTATTTTAAATCAAATAAATTTAATAAATGCAACAGTATGTCCGCATTGTTTCAAAGATCTTATTTCTCTTAACAGACACTCCTTGTGTTGCACAAGGGTAACTAATATAGAGTCAACTTATGTAAACAAATTGGCAAACATTAATATTTCATCTAGTTTGATAAATATAGGTGATAATTTTGAAAACAATTTTAACAATATGTTGTCCTGTTGTTGTGGCAAGCCCTGCAAGGGCAAAAAAGTATTAAAAATGCATCGAAGAACATGTAAAATGTCCAAACCCCTCAAAGCCTCGTCGTGTCCGCTTGACCAAGTTTAAACAAATTTTCTGAACAGATGCCCAATACTTCAATCAATCAATCAATCTATTAGCTTATAAAGCGCTATTTCCGCGATGTTCAACAGCGCTCCTCAATAAATTTTGAAAACAGATGGGTCTTGAGATCCGCTCTGAACTTCGCAAGTGATGGAGTAGTCAGAAAAGTAGGTAGAGAGCACCAGAGAAAAAGACCAGAAAAAGAAAAAGCAGATTTGGCAAAAGAGTGTTTAACACGAGTCAAGAAAAAGCAAGAAGACGATCGTAAACCGGGGCGTTTAGGTTCAATTAATATATCTGATAAATACTTAGGAAAAAATTTAGATTGAGACTTATACATAAACGTGCAAAAATTTTTTATTCTACGTAGATGAATGTAAGAGCTTCTAGCGACACTATTAATCTGAGAAGAGAGAGACATAGTAGAATCAAAGATAAAACCTAAACTACGAAACTTATGAGAGACATCAAGAGTTTTAGAATCAGGTAAGATAATAGGAGGAATAGTAATAGAGTGTATAGATTTATTAAAACAAATTAATTCAAACTTAGAAGGATTAAGTTTAAGACACATAGAGTCAGACCAAGCGATAATTGAAGAAAGACAGAGATAAATTATGAAAAACACTATTGAGATTAGATGGAGGAAAAGAAGTATGAATGTAAGAATCATCAGCATATAGTTGACTTGAGAAAGAAAAGTTATTAATAATACGAGGTAGTTCAGAAGTATAGAGTATAAATAGAAGAGGGCCAAGGATAGAACCCTGAGGTTCCCTGAAAGTAAGAAAGTTAGAAGTAGAATTATTGAGAACAACAGAAGAAAAACGATTACAGATATAAGAAAAAAACCAAGATAGACAAGAATCAGTAATATTAAAAAAAAGATGCAGCAGTCTCAAAAGAATAGTATGGTCAACAGTATCAAAAGCCGAGGAAAAGTCAAGAGCAAGAAGAAGAATAAGATTACTATTGTCACTAGAAAGAAGGATATCATTGTGTATTTTGAGTAAAGAAGTTTCAGTACTGTGAGCAGGTATGAAAACTTCCACAAATTAATAGGTAAATGTTTGAATACTACTTTAATCCCGACATGTTGGCATAACGGCGTAACAGTTTTAATTTACAAGAAAGGGGATACAAATGACCCAAGCCAACTATCGCCCGATTACACCAGTTTTATACAAAACAATTTCAACTTTAACAAAAAGTAGACTATACAACTTTTACAAAAAAATAATTCATCAGTACAAACACTCAGAAGGGATTTCGTCCAACAATAGATGGTCTACCCGAGCACACACAAATGCTAACTCATTTAATGAAAGATGCGAAAAAACATCAACGATCGATAATTGTGGCTTTGCTAGATCTGTGTAATGCCTTCAGCGAAGTAAGTAGTCGTCATCTCATCAACTCAGTTTTTAAATACTACCACGTCCCCATTTATTTCACGCTTCAATTCTATTCATATACGATAACTACATAATATCAGTATAAATCAACGATAAACTCACGCCGTTGTTGCCGGTTAGAAGAGGAGTTTTTCAAGAAGACCCATGCTCTCCTCTATTATTCAACCTTTGCTTCAATCTTCTTATGATGATCCTAAAGAGTCAAGAATTTAGGCAATGTGGTTATCTGTGGGGGTCAACGTGCAAGGTGAAATCTAGATCATGGCTACAGTTTGCAGATAACACAACTGTTATTTCAGGGAATGCTTAGAGAATGCTCAAAAATTAATTGACTTGATTAGGCCTGGTGCAAGTGGTCAGGGATGCAAATAAGGGTTGACAAATGTTGCGCGTTTGGAATGAAGAAGAGAATTCATATCATCAATTTCTGATTAGATTGACAATAGACAATATACACATTCCAGTCTTGATACTGGGCTTGCGATTCAAACACCTAGGTAAAGTATACGATTTGAAATTAAAAGATACAAATACCAAAAAAGGAATGGTTGCGAAATTGTCAACGCTGCTGAAGATCACGATTGAGCTTGATGTTCCAGCACAAATGAAGTTACGAATTTTAAAAAGATTCATACCGTCACAATTAAAATTTAATCAATCAATCAATCAATCAATCAATCAATCAATCAATCAATCAATTAGCTTATAAAGCGCTATTTCCGCGATGTTCAACAGCGCTCCTCAATGAATTTTGAAAACAGATGGGTCTTGAGATCCGCTCTGAACTTCGCAAGTGATGGAGAAATAGTTAGAGAAGTAGGTAGAGAGTTCCAGAGAAAAGGACCAGAAAAAGCAAAAGCAGATTTGGCAAAAGAGTGTTTAACACGAGTTAAGAAAAAGCGAGAAGAAGAAGACGATCGTAAACCGGGGCGTTTAGGTTCAATTAATATATCTGATAAGTACTTAGGAAATAATTTAGATTGAGACCTATACATGAACGTGCAAATTTTAAAAATTATTCTATATTTTATAGGTAGCCAGTGCAAGAGAACAAGATATGGAGATATATGAGAAAAGAAAGGGGCACGAGCAACTAGACGAGCAGCAGAGTTAAAAGCTTTACTTAAAGGATAGAGTATAGAGTCAGGAAGACCATAGTAGAGCGAGTTACAATAATCAATCCTAGATAAGACTAACGAAGTAACAAGAAGAAGAAGAATAGGATCATCAAGAAAAGGCAAAAGTTTTTTTATTCTACGTAGATGAAAGTAAGAGCTTCTAGCAACACTATTAATCTGAGAAGAGAGAGACATAGTAGAATCAAAGATAAAACCTAGACTACGAAACTTATGAGAGACATCAAGAGTTTTAGAATCAGGTAAGATAATAGGAGGAATAGTAATTGAGTGTTTAGATTTATTAAAACAAATTAATTCAAACTTAGAAGGATTAAGTTTAAGACACATAGAATCAGACCAAGCGATAATCGAAGAAAGACATAGAGATAAATTATGAAGAACACTATTGAGATTAGATGGAGGAGCTACGGAGCTATAACTTTCCCCTGACACGGATCGCTAATGCTATAAACAACCTAGTGGTAGAAGCAGTCAGAAATAGGCTAACAATTCAATCAGCGGTTGTGTGTCAGAGATGTTGGGTATGCCGTTGAAGATTGAAGGCCAAAATATTGTTTCACTCAAAGACTCTGAGTTGAAAACGAGATTTAAACTATTTTAAAACTAGTTCAAATACAAAAATTTGATGTCATTGACGGGAAACAACAATAGACTACAAAATGTTCTACATCTTGCTTCCGAAACCAGACTTAACATCTCGGTCGCTAAAATGGTTAGAAAAAAACCGGATATATAAATAGATGCCTGTTGAAATTGCATTTTTTTCTGCAAAATCAATGTACCCTTATCAAATTTTTGATAACGACAATATCCTCATCTCAAATAATTCATTGGTCCAAGCAATAAGATAAACTTCCTGAAACGCTTTACAGATTTGCGAGAAAATAATTCAACAACTGACGACCAGCGCAAATCTACACACATGGGGAAAAACACAAGATGCACTATTCTTTTTGCAGTGGGCAACGGACAAACAAACATGTAATGTCCAATTGTAGACATTTTGGAAGTCGACGTAGGTTTCATCAGGACAATTTGTTGGCTCCTGCCTTCTCTGTTTTTCAATGATATTTTTTGACAGACTTGGTACTACCATATCACCATCAGCCGTTACCTGGTTGCATTTTGGTTGTCTGTTTCCTTTGACCACTTCAAAAATTTTACATTTTAAAACACAGTTTTTCCAGATCTAAGTGGAAGCCGTACTTCATCATCATGTCGAGGCCCAAGATGCATTCATCGGTAGTGTCTGCCACCAGAAACGTGTCCTCCAACTCCGAGTTTCCCGTTTCTACAGCACAAAAAACTTCTCTGTATACAATCGCCGTTTCTCCAGAAACGGTTCGAAATAGGTGTTTGCTAGATATTTCTTGCTTTGGATCCATTGCCGTATTTTGTCTAAAAATAGACCTAGTTGCTCATGTATCGATGGTAATCAAGCATTTACACAGATATATCTTTCCTTCCAACCAAAAATCATCTCGGTCATAATGTAGCTTTGGAACATGAATAATACTTCAAAGATCTCAACATTATTTCTATTTCTAACACCAGTATTGTAGCTTCCAACAATCGTCAAGAGTTTGTTTATCCGTAGGATCAAAATTTCCGATAGATGAACACAATTGCTTCAAACGCAAACTTTGTTAAATGTTTATTTGAATACCAACAATAATAGAAACAATTAACTAATCCAAGTAACTACATGAATCCCATTTAGGACTTCGTTTTCTCTGCTGGAAACCATGACTGTAAACCTGACTTGTGAACCTGGATGCACAGGACGTATTTATAGTCGGATTTTACAATCATAGATATTTTTTTACACCCTATGGTTTACAATCCAAAGGTTACAAATATAGCAAAGATAACAATTGAATAATAAATAATATAACGCATTTCGATCATTCCCGTGGTTATAAAATAAGTTTATGCCGTTTCATTAAAGTTCATGGCTCAAATTATAATGAATATTGATGTCACTACTGCTCTTGCTTCCAGAGTAGCGAATAATGGTAAAAGTAATTGTAATATAAAAAAAATTATGTCAGTCTGTCAATCAGTCAGACAATCAAGAATTATTTTTAATTTTTTAAAAAACTGATGGCATCAACTTTTCTTGTTAATTTTCATAAAAAATTTCTATCCGTTAGCAAATTGGATTTAATTTAACGTTTCCACCCCAGTCTTTTCTGTTTATTCAACCACAACGATTGACAAAAGCTCAAAGTTTAAAACCAAATAAGCCAAAAAAACAGAGAGTAAGTATAAATTTTTATTTTATGCCATAAAATTGCTGAATAAGAATATAAAAAAACGTTAAAGAATACAACTTTTTTACAAAATCGATAATTTTATTATTGAAAATTTTTAATTAAACTATAACGTTGAAAATACATTTAAAGTAACTTTATATTCTTCCTATATTAAATACTATAAATATTTGACTAATAATTTAAAGGTGCATAACTAAAAAAAAAAGTGGCACACAAAATATTTTTTCAAAAGCTTATTATGTATTGAACAATTTGTTTGTTAATTTATCTCAAAAATTTAATAATTTACATAAGTTTTCTATGTTATAGTTTGATAGACATTGTTTTGTGTAAACAAATAAACATCATAAAAATATAAAAATTCTTTATAATCAAAGCATATAGTTATCAAAAAACAAAAGAAATTATTAAAAAATGGCAATACCGTTTACATCGCCACCTGGATTTTTAGAAATGAACGATTTTTTGACAAACGTACCTCTAGCAAATGATGCAAATATTTTACCCAGTCGAATGGACATAATTCCAAATTTAGACATTCCACCTCCCGATTTTAATCCAATGTTTGGCTTGGAAGACAATTCAAAACTATTAGATATCAACACCCCTCTAGCACTTCCCAATTCATTTTCTCAAACTCTACCAGTCATACCTGCAGACTTGTTCTTACCTGATTTAAATAGATTAGAAAATCTTCCAGTTGAACACAACCAACCTTATGCTCCTTATTTGCCTCCTATCAGTCCACCTGGTCCACCATTCACACCAGATTTGAAGCCATTTTTCAATGAACAACCACAATTATCACCTTTAGTAACATCTCCAGTATTACCACTGACAACAGAAACAAATCTTCTTGGAGGCAATCCTACTTCAAATGCTGTATCTATTCCATCCAATTTTTTTCCTAACGACAATACGGACTCATTGAATCGGTATAAAAATAAATTATCGACTGCACGTCCTTCGCTGTATGATACAGTAGAAACAAAGTCAAAACCTTTAACTATTGATGGTGTCGTTGAAGAAGTATTGAAAGAAAAATCTAAAAAAGAAATTAAATTGGATAAACTGAACTTTAAATTAAAATTGTTAAAAGATATGGAAAGAGATTTATTAATGATAGATTTGATGAAATATGACATTGAATGTGAAAAAAGAAAAAAAAATTACCGAACAAGTAAATTGTTGAAAAAATATGGTTTATCAGGTATGGATTATCAAAACAATTGCAATTTGTCTTGTGCTAGTGCAACATGTTTTTATTCTCAGTGCCATCCGCACGTTTGCCACAACTGCACACCAGCACCAGCAGAATGTGGTTTTCAAAAATTTTCTGTTCCAGCATATCAGTATGAACATGCACAACCAAGAAAATATTACATTCGTAAAAGAAAGAAATATTTCTACGTTAATAATTAATTGTTAATAAATTAAACGATATTTTTTTAAAGATGACATTTTTGAAACTGAAAAACATTTGACAAATAAAATTATCTGATGTACTGGCGCTATCTTTTCTTACAATTATTCGGCGTAGCCAGGGTGCCGATTTTTTTAAATACTCCGCAAGTCGTATTTATCCAAATAGCCCTTTTTAAGCACATTTTAAACACTTACAAAAACATAATAAATGATGGTATGACATAACTCCAATTACATTGTTCTTTTCAACAATTACTGTTATTATGGCTTTTTTAATGAGAGTTTGCAAAGGCTTATTTTTCCATTATTTTTTAAAATCTTGAATTGATTCTTGATTATTTAATTTCATACATAATAATAATGCTTGGAGCTTTATCAATTTCTAAGCAAATATTCTAACAAATAGAGTGAAATTGTTTCCGATTCGATAAATTTGCTAAAATTTCCAATTATGGAGACCAACAAAGTTGCATGTCTTATAAAAGAACAATCATGATTCAGTGCCATTTTATTTTGTGTGTTTCTATATCGATTCACAATTCACTATTCGTTTATTTATCAAACCAGTAAAGAATTGACCTGGAGACCTGGAAGATTAAAAATCTTGTATCGGCCACCAGTTCAGAATATATGAAAAAATGGAAAATAATATATCATATCTAATATATATAGTTCTGATTGTGTCAAAAATTATAACAGAAAACCCTTATATTGAAATTCAATAAAAAAAATAACGCATAAAAAAATAACAAAATTAAAAGAACGACTCCTGATTTAATATATAAACAAAAGAAGATAACACCAAAATAATAACACTTAATATCTCGCAGTAGAAAAAAAATACCATAAAATCAAATTCATGACCAAATTTTTAAAATGATATAAACTGTTTGATTCTTGAATTATATTAGGTAATGTGTTCCACAGACGTATTGAAACAATTAGAACAGAATTAATAATAAAAATTGTTCTTGGTTTGGGAAAATAGATGGTTGGATAGTTTCTAAAATAATTTTGTATAGAATTAATAAAACTTTTAAAATATTCACTAAGATAAGGACATTAATTTAATTTATAAAGTTTAAAAAAAAACATAATGTATATAACATATGCAAATCTTCTACAGCCCAAATGTTTGAAGATTTATAATAAATACTTACACGATCAAATTTTTTTAAATTAAATAAAACTTTAAAAAAAATTTTTGATTCTATTTCAAAATATGCAAATGAAATTTTGGATTGTTACCCCAAATTGAAACACAATAAATAAAATACGGGAGAACTAATGTATTATATAAAGAGTAAAAAATAAAATTAGAAAATATTAACTTACGATGATAAATAATAACTATAATTTTTGATGCATTACAAGATATATGATTAATATGATTGTTTGATCTAGCCAAGACAAAGAACCATTAATAAAAAGATCCAAAAATTTTATAAATTTTATAGAATCAACACGATTAATACATATATCGCTAATAAGAATGGTGGAATCCAATAAACGGGTACGTATTGGAGGACCAAATAAAATATAGCCAGTTTTGGTTAAATTAAGTCTTTAATTATTCGAAGAAACCCAGTCATATATTTTCTTTAATTCATTATTTACAGTCAAGATAAGATTGTTAAAGTCTAGATCAGAGTGGAGAATGATTGCGTCGTCAGCGAAAAGAATAAACCTTAAAACATTGGATAGGTTCAAAGTGGTTGAACCGATGTTGAGTTGTTGTTAAAACCGGGAGACAGCCACCTTCAAATGATACCTCAGATTTCGATTTGATGTGTTGCAAGAAATCTTGAGCTGAGATTGACGAGACTGAAAAGTTAGGAGAAATATTTTTCCCAAGCAAGGTAGACACCATGTTCCATAGCTTTCTAGTATTTTGAGAGTTTGAGACAATCATCGATTGGTAATATATATATATATATCTTGAATCCAAAATGGTTTTTTAAACTTTTGAATTACTGTAATTTGAATTTAAAATTATTTTATATTTAATAATTTTTCTTTAGTTTCTATATATTTTAGTTCAATATTATAGTGAACTGTAAAAATCAAGCCACGGGTTGTGTGCTTGTTTGACACTTCGGCTCTGTTGAAAACAATATGAAAAGAAAGCGCTTTATGATGAAATATGAAGTGTAAATAAACTATTAAATTTAAAAACAAGTTGTCGATATGCAGAATATTTTATCCTTTATTTCCGGTTCAAAACCGAGTTCTGATAACAAATCAAAAGTTAAAAACCAATCAGATGAGGATAAAAGTTTTAAAAACAAATTCGATATTTTCTCGACAATCTTTTCAAAATCATCTGAAAACATCAATGATAAAGATAAATCACCAAGTGAGTCTCAACACCAATCGGCTAACAAAGAAAAGATGGAAAAACTTAGTCGGAAAAAAATAAATAGTTCTGGAGGTTTGCAAAATTTTCAATTTTCATTATTTAAACAACAATAAGAAAATAAATTATAATTTAAAGGTTCTTCTGTTTCGAGCAACAATGAATCAAAGCGTAGCAAATATAGAAACTATTCTTTCGAAAAAATTGAACAAAAAATAAAATTGATTAACACTTTGGAAAATGAAATAAAACATTTGGATAAAATCAAAAAGAAAGTTAAATCACGTTATTGTCAAAACGTATGCTATCCTTCAACTTGCATCTGCAATCCTAGTTCTTTTTATTGTGGATCAGGATGTTGCAATCCCAACTTTTGTAGTTTTGGTTGTTATGATGCTTGTTATAATCCTTGCTGCTGCACTGGGTGGGATTGTATTTGCACCAATTATGGTTGTCCTCTATGTCCATCAACGTCTGATGACTATTTTCTTATTGCTAATTATGCACCATTTTTTGGTTGCTCAAATCTCAACTGGCTGCGAACATCGTTGTAGCAATGGTATGTATCAACTACAACAATGAAAATCGTTCCATATTTATATTTTTAAATTCATGTTAACGATCTTTTGTTAACGATCGTTAACAATGTTAACGATCGGTAAACCATGGTGACCTTATTTGTCCACGCTACAGGACATCTGATTATGGGTTAAGGATGTTTTCAATTGCGTCTGCCAAAGTCTGGAACTCATTACCGGCTAATTTGAAGAATGTTAACGGTATCAGTCGTGATGTTTTCAAGAGCCGATTGAAACATCATTTTTTCATCAAAATGAACATAGATAGCGGTTCTGAAGATAACTCGACAGATGCGCTTATAAATGTTTTTCAATTCCATTTGATTTTTATTCTCTATGCAAATCTTAATATTACGTCACGAAGCATACAAAAACTTTAAAAATAACAAAATGTAGCATATAATGACTAATGTATCAAATTTTTGAAATTTATAAAAAAAAACTAACATTTAAAATGTTGTTTATATTTAAAAACGTTTTCAGTAATTAATCATGGCAGGCGCTGAAGTAAATTATAATACAATTTTATTTTGATTGCAAAAATTTTTCATATCTGTTTAGGTTAAATATGAATAAAAAATTAGAGTCAATAAATTGTTAAAAATGTACATTAAACAATTTACTTTTACCTCATCAATTATTAAATAATCACATAAACAACTTTCACAAGTTACTTTAAAAAAAGAAAATCATTTGCTAATTAACCAAAATAATATTCATTAAATAAACCTAGTCAAAATTGAAACAAACAGGTTGGACCCAAGATCACTATTCCTGGAAAAGAACGAAACGTTGAATATGAAATTATTGAAGTTGATGAAGAAACAGAAAAAGCACTACGGAAAAAAAAAGAAGACAAAATAAAAAAAGAAACAGAAGACAAAACACGAAAAGAATTTGATAAAATAAAAAACGAAAACGAATTACTGGAACATTCTAAAAATAGAAAAAACAGAAAAACAAATTATGGAAACAAAAAGTTGAATATCAAAGAAGAAAATGCTAAATGTGCAAATTTACAATTTTTATATTATTATTATTATTATTTATATTATAGCATGTGGATGAAAAACCAATCGAAACCTCAACACCCACAATTTATTCAAAATAATATAGTCATCAACACTAATGGAAAGTCAAAGATGGGGCCCTACTTGAGAAAATTGAGAAATTTAAACAAGCTGTGAAGTTTTTGGTCATTTATATGCGTGTGTGTATGCGTGAGTACGTTTGTGTATAATAACAAAAATTGGTACAATTTTATAATTTTGTAAAAGTTAGCGAATTTTGATGGCTCAGTAACATTTATATTTTTTAGATTTATGCAGTCGTTTTTGTTTTTAATTGTTATTGATTAAGTAAGTTCGTAAGATTATGCTTATAATTGCACTAAATTCCAACCGGTACGAATGAAATGTAGTAACACTACAAATCAAAGAAATTATACCGAGTAGTGCAATCCAGTGATGGTCAGAAACTCCACAAACATAAAAAGAAATATATATCTAAAAAACACTATAATGAAGGGCAAAAATAATTTTTGTTTCAACTAAGCGACCATTTATATCAATATTTTAAAAACTTACCAATAAATTTATATTTTTTATTTTATTTTATTGTTTTTTGTTTTTTATTTATAACAAATAATTCAGCGTCATTTGTACTTTTTTGTAATTCACAAATAAAAACATCAAATTAAGTTTTATCGCTTTATAAATTTTCAAAAAATTTATCGAGTAAAGTTGTAAAAGTTCGATAAAAAATTTAAACATTCGAAAAAACACATGACAGTTGAGATTAAAAATCACTCAAATTGCAATAATACATATTCACAAAAAATGGGCGATTCATCGGGAGCCATTAAAAAAAATGACGGCATTGGAGGACCGTTAGGAAAAGCAGAAAAAATAAATGAATTAGAAGGAGTTAAAAATTCACCCAATGAATTGAATTCTGGAAATCAACCTACACCAGGAGGAATGAAAAATACAACCGGACTTCCTGAAAAAACTGCAGGAGCAGGCGGATTTCCGGAAAGTATAGGTGGCGTTCAAGGAGGAATGGGAAACATAGGTGGTCCTCAAGGAGGAATGGGAAGCATGAGTGGTCATCAAGGAGGAATGGGAAACATGGGTGGACCGCAACAAGGAATGGGAAACATGGGTGGACCGCAACCAGGAATGGGAAACATGGGTGGACCGCAACTAGGTATGGGAAACATGGGTGGGCCGCAACCAGGAATGGGTAACATGGGTGGACCGCAACTAGGAATGGGAAACATGGGTGGACCGCAACCAGGAATGGGGAACATGAGTGGCTTTCAAGGAGGAATGGGAATTATGGGAGGTCTCCAAGGTGGAATGGGTAACATGGCTGGATTTCAAGGAGGAATGGGAAACATGGGGGGATTTCAAGGAGGTATGGAATATATGGGTGGATTTCCAGGAGGAATGGGAAATATGGGTGGATTCCAAGGCGGAATGGGAAACATGGGAATGGGGAACATGATTAGGCCACTTGGAGATATTAACGAAACAAGAAAAACAAAATCTACCAAAAAAAATTCGGAATCTGAAAGAATAAACAAAAAGAAAAAATTGAAACAAAATTCATCAGTTACCAAAAGTTTTATGAATAAATGCGAAAAGGAAATAATAAAAAAACAAAAAGAGTGTAGATGTAGCTATAAACCAAGAATAGTTTATGTTGGTGGAGGGCAACCAATGACCACATCTTGTCCTCTGCAAGATTATGTTTATATCGCTCAACCTCATTATCCGATTTTAAAAAATTACACGACATTTGGCTACCCTATCAACTTTTTTGGAAGATTTTATCAAAACCCCGCTATCGTCATTCATAACCGACTGTTTGCTCTATAAATAAATATAAGAAATACGCAACAGAAAAATTATTAATGCAACTGTATATGTTGGATATATATATATTTATATATATATATATGTGTGTGTTGTGCGTGTGTGTGTGTGTATTAAAAATAATTCTGGCTAATTTATTTTTAATATTTTTTGTACTTGACTGATTATATACAGATAGAAAATTTCAATATTTTATTGTTATCGATTATCTGAAATACTTAGAGCTCATCAATATAAGATACGCATTACGCATTGAGCTGTGTTAGATCGGAAGGGCAATGCTCTCGGTGGTTCGAGATTTATAGTGGCGTCAGACAGGGGTGTATACTTGCGCCGGATGAGTTCTTGGCCCCGATGGATTGGATAGTGGAGCGTTCTGTACACAAAGGTATGCTCGGCGCCACAAACGGCAGGAAGGTGTTCACGGACCTGGACTATGCAGGTGATGTCGCTCTGCTGGCAGAAATACGAGATGTTCTCATACTGTCGTTGGCTACTATGTCCGAGGAGGCAAAACTTTTTGGTTTAAAAATCAACTAAGACAAAACGAAAATTCAGGCAATCTCTCTGGGCGATCCGCCACCCGCGTCTATTTCTGTGCTGGGTAACGACGTACAGATTGTGAATTTGTTTCCAAATCTCGACTCCCAAATACACTCGTCAGGCAGTAGTGACGCTAAAATTTTGCGTCGAATTATCATTGTCCACGCGTGTATGAGGTCGCTGGATCGTGATATATGGCACTCGGGCATTTCAGTGACGACCAAAATTTGATTATATAACGGATACATCACCCCCGTGCTGCTCTATGGATATGAGGCGTGGTCAACTACTGGCGCTCATTTGAAGAGGCTAGACGCCACAGATCAATGGTGCTTGCGCAGGATCTTTTGTCTGACCTACCGCGATCGCGTCACAAACGTTGAGGTGAGGAAAAGAACACAACAACCCTCTGTTTTCTCACTCCTGTTCAATCACATAGCTCGTGCCAGTTTTATAGAGGATCATTTCCGGCTTTAAAAGCTGTCATAGACCGACCGCCACCGAAATAGACTCGAACGCGCGGCCGTCCAAAACAGTCATGGGTCCGCTCAGTGTAGAAGGACTTGTCCCTCATCAACTACGGTACTTACTCGGCCTGGAGACTTGCTCATGATCGCTTGAAATGGAGGCACCTTGTGAACACGGCAACGTCCCGTTATGGGGTACGCCCATAATAATAATAATAATTGCTCACACAGACTAGATTATACAATACAAGTTAACATGTTTTACAAACTGAACGATGACTGATCCCATTGCACGGGACTCTTACAGACATTTCAGTTTATACGGTATTATCGCATTTGTTATAACTGAATATTACATTCAAAATCAACACACAACAAGACAATAATACGAAAAAATCCTGCTTCTGAAACAAACAGCAGAAAACCCATAAGACGTTCAAATTCTGTAAGCTCTTTAATCTTGAAAAAAATCAACCAACAATAAACTAACAATAAAAATCAAACTTATTAATATCATTCAAGTTATTTCACCTGCTACAATAACTACAATAAAGAATCCACAAACTAATGATACATTATCCTTATTAAAATGTATTATTCTTATAAAACAGTTAAAAATAAAACACTCTCGATGTTAGGGGTTTTTAATGGTTAAAGGAGCATTCGTCCAAATGATGTTTCGCCCGAATGATGATTCGCTCGAACGATATGGAGATTCGTCCGATAATGTTTTCGCCGATAAAGTTTTCGCCTGAAGATGTTTCACCCGATAAATAGAATCGTCGCCCGATACATTTTTTGCCCAAAAACATACATCCATTCGTTTTTGTCCATTCTTTTAATAATTTTCTAAAACACGATGACATTGCAGTGTTTGGTACTAACCGATAAAAAAAAATCAATATATTGATAGTATCCTAATCAATTCTCCATATCATACCACCACTACCATCATCACTTCACTATCACTTCACACATTATTACAAACTCACACAAATCATTACAAGACACATCTACAATCTAAAAAGACAATAACTATTAAAATTCTTACAATCTACAGAGACAATAACTATTACAACTTATCAGCAAATTCAACACGAACGAACACACACATACGCGTGTATAGAAATATATATATATATATATATATATACATATATATATGTATATATATATATATATATATATATATATACATACAGGTGAAAGACATTAATTAATGCATTAATTTATGAAATCTACCGAATTTCTAGCATAGGATAGTTTTTTTATTACATTTCTCAATATTTCTAACCAAATTCTTGCCATCATTATTTATTTTATTAAAGTTAGAATAATATACAGTTTTCCAACTCATACTTAAGTGTATAAGGACCTATTTCGATTTTTCAATCATCTTGTTGCAGTTTATATAAGGAATTTGTATAACCCAGAACCAAGTACTTGTTGCAGTTTATATAGTTTATAATTTTATAACCCTGTACTTGTTGCAGTTTATAAAGGGATGAAGATGATTGAAAAATCAAAACAGGTCCTATACACTGGAGAATGAATTAAAAAATTGTATACTTTTCTAATATTCTAACTTTAATAAAATAAATAATAATGACAAGAATTTGGTTTTAAATATTGAGAAGTGTAATAAAAAACTAATTAACAATAGAAATTCGGTAGAATTCTTAAGTTACCATTATATATGGGGTGTTTCCATGGAGCTACATTCAAACCAAGGTCAAAACTGCATTCAAAACAAAGGCGTACCGATTAATCCAGTTCATTAAAATCTGTCCAGCGACAATGCAAGCCTCCTGATTTGGTATCGGATACACTTTCGGCCACTTGCTAAAATAGTCCGCTACAACCAGAATGTAACGGTTACCATCATTTGATTCAAAAAATGGTCCAGAAATGTCGATAGCAATTTTTTTGAAAGACAAACCAATATTATAAATTTGCATTTTATTTTGTAATTTTTTTTGGGACCTTTCACTGCAGCGCATGTACTATATATATTTTCGACACCAACTTTCACATCTCGAGTATAATCTCTTACGTATTCTGTCAAGCGTCTTATAAACTCCAAGATTTCTTCGATTTTATTCTTAGGCGCCACAATCTGCATGCGATGTTTTGATCCATCAGTTGATTCCCATTTTTGTTTGAGTAACCCATCTTCCAAATGCAAGGAGTCCCACTGAGGCCAGTAGCTTTTCAACGACGCACCAAACTCCGATATATCTTGCCATTCAGGTCGCTGCTCTGAATTTTTCCATGCAATGACATATTATAATAAGCGCTAGCCAGATCTACCAGTGCTTATCTTGTATCTACCATTATCTTTATTGTTCGTACATTTTCTGTTTGTACTTTCTCTTCCAGTCGACTGCAGTATTTGCGACCTAATAAACAAGGTTGAAGAAAAAAGAGCTTCGGTATTGTTGTGGGAGGTCCCTTTACGGTGCATAATTTTAAAGTCGTACATTTGTAATCGTTCCAACCATCGTGCTACTTTAACGAAGAAAAAATTTTTGTACCTAGAGGTACTTGTGGTAATTTTTCGTTGCCCTGACTATCGCTAGCAACTCTTTTCTGGTTACAAA